GCGGGGCCGCGCGAGGGGGCGGGGTTCGGGGCGGAGGGGTTTAGAGTTACCTCGCGCCCGGGCCGCGCTGTCGCGCTGCGCTGCGGTGCGGGCGCGCCGCTTCGGGTCTCGCGCCGTCTCTACTTTACCGCTGGCCCCTCTGGAGATCCACACGCGGCGATAACTCCGCCCGTTGTTCATGTTCTGTCAGCACGCGTTCGCGTATCGGATTAAAGGACGCCCTGCTCCTTTTACACGGCATTTCACGCGAGGATAGGAGCTTTTTTACGGTATTTATGAGGTTGAACAGAGGTTTTTTTGTACTCGGCAAGAATTCCACACACACGCGAGATTTTATTATTTTTAGCAATCTCCTGGAGAGAAAACGCAATTACGTAATTAAACACCGCGCTTTCATAACAATGTAATCCCTGAAATAGTGCACCATGAAGCAGAAGCAACTGGAGTCGCTGGCTCCAACCGCAATATAACTTGCCAGATAGGCAACGCGAAATACTATCATAAAATGATGTACCAAAGGAGAATATGGAGTTTGATCGTCTTGAAAAAAATTTAAATCCGTTTATGTACCAAAAGCAAGAGCCGGAAAGAAATTTGTACCAATAAATTATTTGAACCACAAAGCGAGAAACTAAGCACTAAGAAACATCAACTTTGATGTTGTAATAAACATAAGAATTATAACAAAATGATATAAGTGAAATATGAAGCGCAGAAATGTGGTATTATGATAAATGTGAAAACAGGTAACAAGTGGACAAACAAATCTGAGAAGGAAATGCTTACTTTTAGAACTCTAGTCCGCATCTCAAGTTCTGCATGGCTATGCTGAGACTGCGACGGGGCATTTCTCGCACCAAAAAAGCGAAACCAAGAACAAACTGAACAAAACCAGTCTAACATCCTGTAATTGAGACAATCCTAAGAAAATGATGACCTCTTGCCAAGAGGAGTTTGTAGGTTGTTAAATAAACTTCCATAAAATGTCAACTTACATTTTTTAAATAATTCTTTCAAAAGCCATTTTTATAATAAATTCTTATAAAGTTCATTGAACATTAATTCTTAAATTGTTTCCAAAAACCATCTGCTTTGAGTTTCAAATCAAAAAGTACATTTAATGGCAAGTTCCGAACACGTTATACGATTCTTCAAAGAAAAATAGTCTCATCAACCTTTCTTCGAAGACATTCTTCATTGTCATTTTCGTATCCACATTTCATTTCAGTTATCGACGACAACTCTTTGGCTAGATGGAGATTTCTAAAAGAAATGATTGTCAATAAATTAGTATGCAGTAGTTAGAAACACTCAGCACGGAAACTAAACGAATTATCCGTTGTCTTTTCTCTTTGTGCTTTATTTATTTACGTCAAAAACAGTTAAAAACTGTGTGTGACGTGCTATGGAGAGAAGTTAATTTGATGTTACATTTATGTCCAGAAGCAAAACAAAGAGCCATCTCAGCATTTGCTCAACAATTAGGGAACCTGGACGAACATCTGACAGAGATGGGGGTCATTGACCCAGAAGGTGAAGTACAATACTTGGTACAGGTTCTTTAGACTTATAAAATCCAAGTAAATACCCCGGTAAATAATATATTAAATGTCATTGTTAAAATTAATATTACTTTCCTTTTGGAAGCTCGGTTTTGCCTCTGATTGTATAGAAACAGTTTCGCAGAGGGAAAATATTTTACTTTTGAATTTAATCGTTTAATGTCATCTGGAAAGGCGTTGTAAAATAAGGTACATGTTTGTGCACATGCACATGTCTTCAGTACTTGAGCGGGGGGGGGGTTGCTGCAATTGGCGACCGTGCTACGAAGAAGTAAGTACGAATGAAGCCAATGACACCCATTCATTGATAATAACAACCCTCATTCTTTAATCCAATGTCAAGGGTAAAAGCCATGAGTCTAGACGTTCGAGATGAATTTTCTCGGGAGTTTCAAAATCCGAAAGTTGTTAAACGTGAATCCGTCCACATGTGCGATCACTGTTCTCTTCCACATCAAATCTTGTTTAGAGATTAGTGACTTAGTAGTTTCGCATTCCCTTGCTTTAAGACCCTACTCTGGACAAAGAATCCTTCGCTCACTCACGCTATCCCAGCCGTCTTTACACCGGTAACACGCCACAAACGAAAAGTATCTCCCACATTTCCTTAATAATAATAATAATAATAATAATAATAATAATAATAATAATAATAATAATAATAATTTCAATATGTATATTCTGTACGTACATTTTACGTATGCCCTGCCGGGTGTCTCGTTTGTTAGCGTCCTCGCTTTCCACGGCGCAACCCCGGGTTCCATTCCCGGCCGAGGCAAATTATAATTGTGCGCTTTCCTTACAAATGACGCAGTAGCTATTGCTGAGTGACGATGAAAAAGCCCACGCTAAGCTATGAAAACCACTGTATTCGCAGAAGGGATGTTTTCGTGCTAACCACACGAACCCTTTATCACATGACCGAGGGGCTGGGTCACCGCTGGTCGGCCAAGGCCCATTCGTAGCGGGCTGTCGAGCCGACGTACACGACAAGGACATTTCACGTATTATTCACCAACACCATTCTAACGGACATTTCAATAAACCGTTCTTCTTGCACATTTACGTTGTACGTACCATATTCGTATGAATAGGAGTGGGGCTAGTGCTAGGCCACACCGACAGAAGAGAACCACAAAATTTCTGCTGCACAGTTGTTTCTAAGACGTTTGTACTGTAGAAGAAGTGAGGGAGAAATGTCAACACGATTGTAACATAAACATTTATACTGCGCCAAATATTATCCATTGTAACGTATTAGCCAGCGTGCCTCATGGCATCTATTTGGGGACGCTTGGTAGAGGATTAGCCTCGCCACAGGAAGAAGGGTTTTTCCGTAAAGGCAAGAACGCGGAAACGGGAGACACAAGGCTTTGGCGTCTTCCGGCTTATAGAAACCCTTCGCTGTTATAACAAGCGGGGGCGGTGGCGTGACGTAGTAGGTCACGTGGGCGTCGCCTATATAACAGAGTGTGCAGAGCCAGTAGGTGGGTTCTGGAGACAGTGGGAGAACCTCGTGCATGTGCACAAAACTTGGCGCCACGACGGTGCATATGCGAGCCAGGCTCGCGAGGCTCGAGTCACTAGTTGACGAAGCCTGCGGACTTTAGGTCCTTGGGTGACTGCGGTCACGGGGGAGCGATGCTGTGTGCGTGCTCCGCGGTGAAGAGTGGTTGAGTGCCACGATTCACGCGGATTCTCAATCGGATAAGATCGCTCCTGCGATCGAGGCAAACCAGCCGTTGGTGCGCCAGAACGGACTTTGTGTCCCAGCGTGACTAGCAAAGCTAGGCTTTGTGCGCGCTTCAAAAGTAGGAGTGGCGAATGCCACAATCAAAACCATCTTCAATCGGGTTTTGAGCGCTCCCGCGATCAGGGGATAGTAGGTCTATCAGAGCTAGGGTGTAAGTAGATTATTAAGTGTATATATTTGTTTTGTTTTCTTTGTTAATAAATATATTGTTATATGAAAGCTCTGTGTCTATGGTCGCTGTGAGTATCCATGACGTCACACCATATGGATCCTACACGTCGCCGGCACTCGTTCCCGAGCGGCGACCGAGCGCGAAGACCGCATCTCCGCCGCCGGTTCCGCGCCTCGCGGCGCGCGCCCTCTGATCAGCGCCGGCGCTCTTTCATCGCGGCGCGATCGCCCAGGAATGCGCCCGCCGCGCCGCGCCGCCTCCAAAACAAACCGCGGCGCGTTAACGGGACGGGAATTAGCCCCGGACGAGCCACTCGCCCGCTCTCGCGCTCCGGCTGCTCGCAACCCTGCGGACGGCGCTGCTTGCAAAAACAACCGTTTCAGGTGGGTTTCTCACGTGCGGTTTGCGCTAGCGGTTATCATTGTCCAAAATGTCAGATATTGAAATAACTGGTTCGCCATTTTTCTCAAACCAACGGGTTGTCCCTAAAATATTATTTATTTTGTTATGGGCGAAATATATTTTATTTTTACATATTTGTATAATAAAACATACAATTTTATACATTGTTTGCAACAATATATTTATTTTATCACTTGGCGGAATATACTATTATGATGAAGTGGCAAAACGTAACTTTAAAAGGGGTCTTGTTTCTTGATACCCTTTTGGAAATTAAACCACATTAAAATACCAATCGAATCGAAATGAAACACCAAACTCATTTCTTTAATTGGTATCTGTTTTAAATGAATTTTGTTCGGTTCTTGATTTTAAACAATAAGTTACAATCGCGATAACAAAAAGTACAGAGAAAACAGTGTGCCAAAATAAGAAGACCGATTTTCGAATAAAAACCGACAGGTCAATCCCATCTCTAGAAGACCAGAGTATCTGAGTCCCAGTTATCGTAGGCATCGAGGCAATCCAAAAAACGTATGCTTCGTGGCCTACAGCGAATTTTAACCGGATTGTATATATATTAGCCGGCTAGGAAAGGTGAAGTTTCGGTAACGATATACAGCTGTTTGTACATGATAAACTGGAATCAGACAGCTGGTGGAAACTTTGTACAAGATATGTAGTTTCAAGCACAGTACACTGTAAGTTATGGATTTCTACTTACATGATACTGAACCCCATCTGTTGACGCTTCCTTATGTATTTCTGACTTTGTCAGATGAGACTCCGGCTTTGGGCCTTAAAACAGCGTTGAGTACGTGCAATGAATAATTTTCAAATAATTTCTATGCCAAAATTCGTGAATTAGCCACATTTTGAACATAAGTCGCAACATATGAATTAATTTCTGCAGAAGTGCCGAGCCAGCCCTGCATTGTGTGATGCTGTAATCCATTCCAGAAAAATAGCAGCAAAACAGAATTCGTTTACTATTAGATTCGCTGTATATATAATTAAAATTGTTTTTTGATTTCTGAAGTAATCTGCGGATGTTACAAACTTTTCTCCGCCTTCGATATCTTAGGTCCAGTTATCTCAGATAATCACGAGTCAACAGTATCTGGTACAACCGCACGCTTTAATCCACGACGCTTTGAGTCTTTTTCCGCGTTCAGCTTACTAGACGACATTAGAAGAACGTTCACGGACTATGACGAAGCGTCGGCAAAGAAACGCCGTTCAGATGACTGTGTAATAACGCCCTTGCTAACCAGTTTTTCCGGTAGTTCGA